AAACATATTCAAACACAAATATGTATAGCTTTGTATACTTCATAAATACATAAATTCAAAGAAATTTTACTTACCTAAATACATGTAGGTACTTAGTTTTAGACCAAATTACTTCCCAAAAATGGCCTTTTATTATTATCTATGTCTGTAATTTTTAATTTACTTTAATTATTAAGTTTAATAATCCTAAGATTTGCCTACGCCTATGGACGACAACGAAATTCAGGCAAATTTTATGACACTTCATGATTTATTACTCTACACTCTTTTGAAATAGACTATAGTCCTTTTAGTCGCTCTATTGGCATTTGTTATATTCCAGGCAGCCTTCTGTTTATTTTCAGATTGATTGATATACTCCGAATTATTTTCAAGTTTAGACTGTTTTGTTTTATTTTTATATATGCATTTCAGTTTTCTGTATGCTTCCAAATCTTCTTTATTTTGAGTCGAGTTAGCAATGACTTGTGTTGCCGCTAAAGAGTTTTGTAATTGAACCAGTTCTGCATCAAATTTAAAATTTATTTTTTTAAATTTTTGTTTCTTTACTGTTTTCTCCTTGAAGCATGATTCATAGCAATATGATAGAAAATGTGTAAGATAATTAGCCTTTGAGTTCGCACAAGTCAAATTGTAATACTCTTCGTTATTAAAGTAGTTAACACTATTTACAAACTCCTGTTTATAGTTTTCTGTCATAGGTCTGCATATAATGTATTCATCTTTTATTTTTCCTATATCAAAATTAAAAAATATACCTCGATGATCGGATAAATGTAGTTCTACAACTTGTACATTGTATGTTTCCTTAATATTGGTAAAAATATTATCTATTTTTGAACTGCTCTTCGGAGTAACTCTGGTATCTTCATTTACTTTCTCTGTTAGGTTATGGGACGACATAGTATTTCTACAATTGTTTGAGTCACAGTCATTTATATTAAAGTCGATATTATAATCCCCCACAACAATTATTTGATTATTTATAGAAATATTTCCCAATACTTCATCTATCGCGTTCAAATATGCATTCACCCCAAGACCTAAAGTAGATCTATATGTACAAATCACTACCATCTTCTCTGTAACTAATTCGATACCCGCAAATTCAACAGTTTGTTCCAAACAATATTTAGACATATCTAATCTAATATTACAATGTTTCCCCGCATTTGCAGAAAGTAATCAATGATGAAGTTGATAATATGCTGAAGTTAGGTGTCATCGAGCCTTCTAAGTCTCCATGGTCGTCACCGGTTGTTATGGTCAAGAAATCTTCAGGTGACTATCGGTTTTGTGTTGATTTTCGAAAGGTCAATGCCGTTACTCGCAAAGACGCTTATCTACTTCCCTATGTCAATTCTATTTTGGACCAATTACGCGGAGCTCGCGTTCGTTCTGAGTTCTATCGATATGAAATCGGCTTATTGACAGATAGAGCTGGAGGAAGAAAGCAAAGACGTAACATCTTTTACTGTACCTGGTCTAGGTTTGTATAGGTTTGTGAGAATGCCGTTTGGTTTGCATAATGCTGCAGCTACATGGCAAAGATTTCTTGAAACCGTTCTTGGGGCCGAATTCGACAAATCCGTTTTTGTATACCTAGATGACATAATTATCATTTCTCCAGATTTTGACAGCCATCTCGTCATTTTGAGAAATGTTTTAAAAAATCTGGTAGACGCGAGTTTAACGTTGAATCGCCATAAGTGTTGTTTTTCGAAAGACGAATTGGGATATTTAGAGTACGTAGGTAATAAAGATTGCCTTAATACCGACCCGGCTAAAGTTGAGTCAATGTTAAATTATCCCACTTCGAAATATGTTAGGGATTTTCGCAGATTTTTAGGTATGGTATCATACGTTTTATACGTAATTTTGCGACTCGGATGTCCCCTCTTACTAAAGGATAGCATTTCTATTCGATGAAATTCGCTATGAAATGGTGGTGAGCAGGTGGCTGTTGTTCGAAAATCCAGCAAAACCACCACCATCACGGTAACCATCTGCTCAGCGAGCAAGTGTAAAATGCCAACAACTAGGTGAATGACAGATTATCGTGATCTTGAAATGACTTTCAAGGGATCATCGTGCATCCCCTTACCACTGGCTCTCATTGCGGATTTCTCATAAAAACGTTTCCCTCCCCAACTCCGACTCGATTTCGAGGGCAAAGCCCAATATCAGGGTCAAACGTGCTCGTAGCTCAAGGTCGTTTCGGGTCTTCGAGATCACATGACGGGTACATAGCTCAAGGTCGTGTGACATCATCAGTCACACCCGCTACAACGATATATTGTGACTCTACTCATAGATCGAAAATTCGAAACTGAACTTCTAGCTAGTGATTCATTTCTTATATGAGGTGAGTATGATGTGGCAACAGATTTGAGGGTGATATTCAAGGTTGGGTCGGAGATTCAACCTTAATTGTCCTTGATGATAATCAAGGTTGAATGAAAAGTGTGAACTTGAACAGTTCGTATGTCGCAGTTCAAAGTCATTTAAGGTGAAAGTTGAAGTCGTCTGAAGGTTAGCTAGTAGAGGTTGTGTGACGTAGTTCAAGGTCAAGTGATGAGGGGAGGTCTTAGAATCAGTAGAAATCAACTACTAGCGATTATTCCCTCCACTGAAGTAGTGAATGTTTGAACAATATTTTTCTGTCACCCTCTGCGACAGAGGGATGAAATGAAGTGGTCGCGTTGCTCAGGATCGTCAGTCGTTTCTGTGGGAAAGGTGTTGGCGGGGGAGAGGTACGCGCTGGCGTTAAAACAATACATAACTTCCATTGCTTTCTTGTCAGATATTTTTGAACAGGTCAATAATCTGAACCTTAAACTTCAATGCAAAGTTCACATGGGAGCTCCTAACAGAAGTCAAAAGCTTTTTGCGAAAGCCTGCACTACCCTGTTTCAAAAAAAAATCAGCAGTAACCACGAGCTTGACGTCGCGCCGGTCAATAAAACAAGTTCATTATGGATCTTAAATCGGAATTTTCAAATAGGTTCACTGCCGTTGGACAAAATATATGCAGCTTTTTTGAACTTTCTCTTCAAATAAGATGCATATATGTTGTCCAACGACGCATTCAGCCAATCTACCGTATAGATACTCAACATATATGGAAATCTATAAACAAGCGAGAAAATGGTCAACTCCAGCTAAACCGGTGAAGCGGTGAGAGGGAAGAGTGGATAGCTGAAAGCGTTCGAATGACCTATAAATATAGGACTGTAGGCTTTCACGGATGGCGTCAATGTAGGCTTTCACGGATGGCTTCAGGGTTTTGACGTAGTCTTCTCTGGTAATAATCTCCAAACGTTTCAACTGCAACAGTCATCTTCAGTGGCGTGGTTTTGACGTGTCAGTTGACAAGTCAAGAAGAGTACTTCGACCACGCCACTAAAGATGACTGCCGCAGTTGCAGTTGAAACGTTTAGATATTATAACCAAAGAAAACCACACCCAATCCCGGAAGCCAATCAAGACCTATAAATAGTCATCACCCTAAGACGATTGTGGATACTAACAATCGAAACGTCGTGAAGCAACTTGGTTTGAACTCTTTTTTATTTTTTTTTTATTCAATTTTCAACTGTTCAATTTTTAATTTTTTGCTTATTTTTATTTCATTGTAGTTTCAGTTCATAATATAATTGATATTTTCAGCTATTCATTTTTATTCCATTTGTTCTTTCAGAGATTTCAAATCATAATATTAGAATCATATAAGAAAATGGGAGTCCGAATTAGTAAAATTCACCATGAATCATGTATCATTCAATCAACAATTCCTCCAACTCATCTCTATAATCTTTAGTTACCGTCTTACGGTTTCTGTCCAAATTAGGGGAAGGGAAATTTAGGGGAAGAGGTTGGCATCAGAATGTACGCTATTTGCCTAAGATATTTGAAATGGGCATATATTGCCCTATATTTTTAATTTACATTTTTTTGTAAATTTAATTATGACGTCGTGAATTTCTTTTTGTTTTTCTAGTGATAGTAAACTCACGATATCAATGGGAAATTGTATGTTCAGGGAAATCAATTCTGTGAGAAGCTCCGATGTGTTTCTTGAATTGTTTGCACATTCGAAAAAAATGTGATTCAAATTTCCAAGTGATACACCATCACATGAACATTTATCAGAATTAGTAATGCCAATTTTGGCTGTTTCATTCTATCAAAGCTAAATATTCCACTTTCAAGTGCATTATTATCCTAATACAACTGAAATGTGTTTGAAAAAGAGAGCTCAAACATAATGCATTTATGATTCAACACCAGAGAGCGATTTTTCGACCCCATAGGTCTCATCAGTTGTGCTAGGCTGAACCACAAATGCATTACTAGACTCAACTGTCCTTAAAGGACAAGACTAAATATGTGGGGTCGACGACATCTCCCTTTACGAAGATGTAATGTGTGGGATATCCTCAGATATCCAAAGATAAACCGAGGCTTCTCGAGGCGGTCATTTACAAAGCCAAGCTTCGACATCAGCCGTCAATGAGATTCGTCCTCTGTCTTTCACTGGTGCTTACACTGCAAGGCAACTAGTTGAAAATCAGAACACATACACAACACATTCATGATTCAACACCAGACAGCGCTGTTTCAACACGCCATAGGTGATGCTAGACTGAACCACAACTGACTGCCTCGGAGAGCCTCGTTTATCTTTGAACCACAAATGCGTTGCTGGCCTCGACTGACTGCCTTGGGGAGCCTCGTTCATTTTTTATATTCGAAGATTCAGTTCTCTGTTGATCCCATAGAGGGCGTCTTTGTAAGTGGAGATGTCGTCGACCTTACTATCTAATCTTAATCTATTTTATTTTTTACTTACCTCCAAATTTGTAATACAAAAATGATGTGACGCTCGAACATTTTTATGGATAAGAGTAACTATAGGTACCATGAATATTGAAATGAATAAGTTGTTTAGAACACAACAACGAGCCGACTTTTTCCGAGTGGGTAATGATACCAAAGACTTCATAAAACATTAGTGTGTACTTTATGATTTTATAATTTGTCAAACACAATAATTATTAATAAACAATTTCTTGGTGTACACAGTCTTAATTTTTTAAATATTCAGATTTTTTAAAAGGCACTTATTTCTCTCAAAAATATATCTTTAGTGAAATTACCTCACAAAATATTTCATTTGGTAACCTTAAAAAAAAACAGTTATAAATCAATTCAGTAAACTTTTTCGTACCTATCACAATACATCAACAATTCCTTCCTGTTTATTTACAAAATTATTATAAAAACTATAATCCATTATAAAAATAATTCTAATTAGATCTGCAAATCGACTGACAATCTGTACATAAAAGTATGCAGAATTTGAAACTTTTTCGACCATAATCAGAAGAAAATACATCAAGTTCCATGTTCAAATTCTCGATATCCTTCAGCACCAGTGAATATCACGTCTACCCATATTCGCATAGCCTCTGGAGAAGGTGCCATCAAGTAATAAAATCGCTCGTGAGTCTTTACTATAAAAGATAGCTGTGGATTAGGGGATTTCATGCTGTTCAAGTGGTCCAAGTAAACTTCCTCAATGGCCTAGAAGTGAAATAATTTTTTAGTTGTGTTACTTGAACTCAAAAACAATCAATAATAAGTTAAGAAAATATGTTTTAGTGACATAAGGAATCGAAAGCATAGAACAAAAAAAAAGACGAATATAGACCGAAATAGAAATTGTCCCATAATATCAAGTGGTCCATGAGACCGAGATCTTTTTTATGGTCCTGAATGCCGGAGATCAGTTATGAAATGATTATGAATACTGGCAAAAAACCGAGCTGGCTTGCATTGAAAATTTTGCAGCACAAAGTTTCGACTTTACTGAAAATTTGAATCCATGTAACACTTTGTGAGATTTTCATTTAACAATTTACGTGCACGTGTTGCAGTTTCATAAACTGTGAAATGAATACGATATGGGTTTTTATCAAGTATAGGCCAATTACATCACATATGAAATTTTGATGGTTGATTTTTCGCTAGGTGTGACTCTCTTATGTAAAGTCACCTAGACAAAACTAAAAAGGTAAAGTAAAGTGAAAGTTTATAGAAATCGTGCTAGGAACCGCACATCAAAAGGTAAAACCTCGTTAACCCCTAACTCGCTCAAGTTTCAACTTCTGAGGATTTTTGTTTGGGCAACTACAGCTGGTTAACGAAAAAACAGATTTCAAACACATTGGCAGTGAACGTGTGGATGACACTTTATAACATCCAATAGTTTTTTGTCATTATTCTAACTTCAAGCCAGTTTTGTGCATTCATCGAATTCAATATTCACATTTGTTTTTACATTATATATTGAATAATTATAATATTAACACATTGTTGGAATAATTGATCTACTGGTGACTGTGATTAGACAGGTACTTATGGAAACCAGGTAAGTTTAGTTTCCTCAATATCAATAATATTTTACATTTTACATAATTTTATTTTTGAAGACTGGAAAAACTTTATAATGAAGCGAATAAAGATTTCTACTCTCAGTTACAAAATGCTTCGTGAAATATTTCAATTTGATATGGTCATGAATTACGTAATTGTTGTTAACTTTCTATTAGGAGGAAGAGTCGAAAAAAATCAACAATTCTGATAGATAACAATCAGAATGTGTACCAAAAGGAATTATTCTGATATATCCAATGTTTTGAAAATTGACGTTGAATAATTATTGAAAACCTGCATGCCAATATTATTAGAGAGCTTATATGCTGCTAAACATTTTGCAAGGGAAACATGGAATTTGTCTTCACTTCTCGTGTTGAGATTTCATATTTTTTTTAAATAGTCACGGGTCCTGAAAATACATGCAAGTTTCGAATATTAATGAAACACTCACTGTCAAAACATTGAGCTCCTCAAAGAGGTTCTTACAACAGTAGGATGTTTAGACTTTCCCTAGGGCACATCAGTGCCCACAAATGCATTGCTAGACTCAAGTATTCTTAAAGGATACGTCTGAATATGTAAGGTCGACGTCATCTTTCCTTACGAAGATGCAATCTGTGGGATGCACATAGAACTCAATACTCGGATATCAAAGATAAACGAGGCTTCCCAAGGTGGTTATTTGCAAAGCCAAGCTTCGACATTAGCCGCCATTGAGATTCGTCCTTTGTCTTTCACTGGTGCTTTCACTGCAAGACAACTAGTTGAAAACCAGAGCATATACACAACACATTTATGATTCAACACCAGACAGAGCTGTTTTGCCATAGGTGATACTAGGCTGAACCACTAATCTGTACTTATTAGTATGTACATATCAGTCTGAAACAAATTTCAATTAAATGAACATTGAATATTACTGGAGTTTTTTCCCAACACCAAACAGTTATTTTAAAACCTCGAAACGTGTTTGAGTTTGAGAGTTTGATCTTCCTCTTGAACATGATATATACAGGATGTAACTGAATAAGTGTAAAACATTTAAGGAGGTGATACCTCATCGAAAAAAGATAGGATCTTTCATATAAAGAAAGTTATTGGAGCATCTCTTGTTAAGATACAGCCCCTTGAAGGGGGCACATAAAATTTATATATCAGTTTTTTTCACAAGCACTAAAAAAGTTACAATATTGAAATTAACCTGACGTTTTGTACTACCAAAAAGACACTTAGCCAGAAATTTATTTGGTTTACCCCATGGTTGTAAGGGGTGGAAAATGCAACCCCTAAAATTTATTTCCAATGTAATCGAGAAATACGAACACCACAACTTGAGGAAGCAGTACCTAATTTGATTGAAGAAAACCTACTACCAGTACTAGAAATATTGCTTTCCAGCTAAATGTTGATCATATGAAGGTATTTCGAATTTTAAAGGAACAACTCTTATACCCTTACCATCTGCAACGAGTACAGGCACTGTTACAGCGAGACTTTCCGAACCGTCTTGAATTTTGCAATTGGATTCTGGAAATGATTAGAAGAAATTGTGACTTTCTGAAAACGATAGAATTCTCAGACGAATGTAGTTTTTCTCGGGACAAGATTATTAATTTTCATAATTACCACATATGGGCTGATGAAAACCCTCACGCTATTGTCGAAACTAACCATCAAGAACAGTTTTTTCTTAACGTGTGGCTAAGAGTTATTGGGAATGATTCAATTGGGCCTCATTTTCTACCTCCTCGATTGAATGGTGAGGCATACGTTCAATTTTTAAGAGAAGTTCATCCAGTACTGCTGGAGGAAGTTCCTTTGGGCGTAAGAAGGGATATGTTTTTTATGCATGATGGAGCTCCCGCCCATTTTAGTCAAGTAGCACGTCAGCATTCAACTGAAACATATGCAAATCAGTGGATAGGTCGAGGAGGACCACATAACTGGCCCGCTCGATCCCCGGATCTCAATCCTTTCGATTTCTCTATTTGATATATTTGAGCGAATACGTGGATCAATGCGCCGACGTAATGTCTGAAGGTAGACATATTGAACATTTACTATGATTTCTACATGTTGTGTGTTTTGTTATTAATAAATTAGTTTTGTTTATTACCCTTTAACCGTTTAATGCAGGTACTAACTACAAAATAACAATAAATCCGGTTCGCATTTATAACGATGTATCTGTGTAGTTGTTCGTAAAATAATTTTTTGTTGCGAACTGGTTTATTTTGGGCAAAAAACCCAAGAGAAATTTTTTGTTCAGAATGAAACAGGCTATCAGAAATAAATTTTTAAATGGTAAACAAATAATAAGACAAAAAGTTACATGGAAATAAATTTTAAGGGTTGCGTTTTCCACCTTTTACAACCACGGGGTAAACCCATGGCCAAGTGTCTTTTTGATAGTACAAAACGTCAGGTCAAATATTCCTGGAGTCTCTCTGATTACCCTGCACGCATCGATGATGCGGTTTCTTAAGTCCTTTACATCGCGAACAGAAGTACGATAAACCAAATGCTGTAAATGGCCTCAAATAGATAAATCGAGAGGATTGAGATCCGGGGATCGAGCGGGCCAGTTATGTAGTCCTCTTCGGCCCATCCACTGATTTGCATATGTTTCAGTTAAATGCTGACGTGCTACTTGACTAAAATGGGCGGGAGTCCCATCATGCATAAAAAATATATCCCTTCTGACGCCCAAAGGAACGTATTCCTCACCATTTAATCGAGGAGGTAGAAAATGAGGCCCAATTAAATCATCCCCAATAACTCCGAGCCACACGTTAAGAGAAAACTGTTCTTGATGGTTAGTTTCGACAATAGCGTGAGGGTTTCATTAGCCCATATGTGGTAATTATGAAAATTAATAATCTTTTCCGAGAAAAACTACATTCGTCTGTGAATTCTATCGTCTTCAAAAAGTCACAATTTCTTCTAATCATTTCCAGCATCCAATTGCAAAATTCAAGATGGTTCGGAAAGTCTCGCTGTAACAGTGCCTGTACTCGTTGCAGATGGTAAGGGTATAAGAGTTGTTCCTTTAAAATTCGAAATACCGTCATACTGGTAGTAGGTTGTTTCTTTAATCAAATTAAGTACTTCTCGATGGCGACCACAATCCTGCGTTCTTTTGTCGAATGAACCATATTCTTGTAATCGTTGATGAAGTCGAGCAAATATTCTATGTGAAGGATGCTGCCGTTGAGGATACATTTCAGCATATCTTCTAGAAGCTTCTAACCCATTTCCCTGCGACAGACTGTAAACGTAATGCATATCAGCCATTTCCTCATTTGTGTATGTCATTTTAATAACAAGTAAATTATTAAAGTAACAAATTAAGAACAGAACAACAACACACAATTGGTATTAATTCAATTTCGAAAATTCACAAACTGACAGCGTCATACCAATTTAATTGTCACTATCGCTCTAATAGCGATCTACTAGATAGATTAGTTTCGTATTTTTGCATTTATGACGATGTATCTCGATAGTTGTTCCTAAAATAATTTTTTGCTGTGAACTGATTTATTTTGAGCAAAAAACCCAAGAGACATTTTTTGTTTAGAATGAAACAGGCTCTCGGAAATACATTTTTAAATGGTAAACAAATAATAAGACAAAAAGTAACATTTTATGTACCCCCTTTAAGGGGCAGTATCTTAACAAGGGATGCTCCAATGAAATTTCTTTATATGAAAGATCCTATCTTTTTTTCGATGAGGAATCACCTCCTTAAATGTTTTACACTTATTCAGTTACACCCTGTATATAGTTGTATTATTTATATAAATTTAGTTGATTATACTATATTTT